CATTATAATTTAACCGCGGTTAAATTATGTGCGACGAGGCCTCTGATTGGGAACAAGGGCCATTATAATTTAACCGCGGTTAAATTATGTGCGACGAGGCCTCTGATTGGGGACAAGGGCCATTATAATTTAACCGCGGTTAAATTGTTTTTACCACGTTAAAAATAATTATTTCCGAGTACGATGGCCAAGCATACGCGCAACCACGGTTTACAGACACAGAGACAACAACTAGTTGCCACACTATGACTCGCCTTGCCCGATCAACGCTATATACGCACGCCAATTTACGCAATCCATTTACCATTTTACCTTTTTCTTTACCATTCGTTTTAATCGACTCCATCGAGCATTTTAATTCCCGAATTCACGAGACACGCCTTTGCGACAAAGATTGTGCGAACATTGTACCGACGGAGAAAAAAAAATTCTCCCGCGCGGGGGAAAGAAAACGCAACCGCGTCGTAAATACGGAATCGATTTCGAAATTTGAAATTTTCCGCGGTGAAGAATCCGCAGGAAACACACGTTTAGCAAACGAACTCCGGGGCTCGTAACAAATCGAATTACAGTGCATCATTCAAAGGGCAACGCGCTCAGAAATTAAAACTGAATTGGCGATCATTCTGAATCCGCGCAGCTGCGTACATATACGTTCAAAACAAAGATATGCATAATTGCGCTATTGTCCCTTCGAAACATGCACGCGGACGCACATACACTACAAATTACTATTCCCCCTTCCAAACATGCACGCACGCACGCAGCACGCACGCACGCACGCACACTAAGCTTGACTAACAACGTCAAGCCGCTACAGGCAACAATTACAGAGTTTACACGTGACGAGGAATTCATTCACTCATTATGGAAGACGAAACATTTAGGTGTCAATTAATGATCGAGTCTGAACAGCGCAGAGTACGCCAGCCAGGTAGGCACATAGTACCAGGAAGACACGCACGCACGCACGCACGCACGCACGCACGCACACACGCACGAGTTTAGGCTACGAGGTCGCAGCGTATTCAAGTTAGTAGAATTCAAGTGCAACAGAATTCGGGAATGCGCGCACGCAGGCACCCACACACACACACACACACACACACACGCATGCTACCAGACACACACAAGCACGCAAGCACCCACACACGCACGCACGCAAGCACCCACACACGCACGCACGCAACCAGACACGCATGCAGGCATGCAAGCACTCACGCAAGCCCTCAACCACACACGCACGCACGCACCCAACCACACACGCACGCACGCACGCACGAGGCCACACATTCACACGGTAGTGTTAGTGTTCCTGGTCAGTCCATTCCGTAACAGACGACGTAACATTCGTAAAAATGTGCATTTTGCGATGCAGTACAACTCGGGGGGAGGGGGCATCTCTGCCAACTAATTAATTAAATCAATCAATAAATCAACTAATTAATTAAATCAATCAATAAATCAACTAATTAATTAAATCAATCAATAAATCAATTAATTAGGCAAGCTTTCCCTCAGGATGGTTCAGCCATTCATTCGCCTAGCTTCCACAGGTCAAACGTCAACCGCAGAACACCCCTGACTTATTTCATTCGTTTGTTCGCAATAGAAGGAACATGCAGCCAAGAACATTTCAAGCGTTCGAGAAGATTAAATAAATACGAGAGGCCGATTATATAGTTAGTTGATCGACATTCGGTGCGCCGAGTACGTGAAATGAACTCTTTATTGACTCTCGATTGCTCTCCTCTCTCTCTCTCTCCCTCTCCCCTCTTTCTTGTATAATTGTATATACAAAGTAAGATTAAATTAAATCTATGCTATTATTAACTGATTATCTGATTATAATCGATTATCGATCGGTTAAGGGAAACCGATAATCGATTATGAAATTCCAGTCGATTCCCATCACTATAAAATACACCCTGTCCCAATATACTGCACTAAAAAGTGTAACCTGTTGCAATATTGCACATTTCGGTTATGGTCCTGTCAATATAGGCAGATATTGGTTCAATATCGGCCTGGTGATATTGGCCCAATATTGTTTTGCTAATATTGGTTGATATATTGGTCCAATATCTGCCTGGTGATATTGGCCCCATATTGTTTTGCCAATATTGGTCCAATATCAGCTTGATGGGTGTACGTGTATCTAGATAACCCTGTGCCAATAATGATGCTTGTAAAATATAATAATGATGTTCGGAAAATATACCCTGTCCAGCGGCACGTCCCCAGCACTTTTAACAATGGTGGTGCGCCCCCCCCCCCGGGGTGGGGGGGGGCCGCTGCGGCGACGCGTGCGCCTCGCTGCGTGTCGCGAGATCTGCGTTTTCTCGAATCGATTTTAAAATTCTCTGTGCGCTCAGAAGCGGGCAAAAAAAACACGCGCCAGCGCCGAGATTCGTTTAGGAAATGAAAAAGTCGAAGAAAAGTTTTTACCCCAGGTGGGACTCGAACCCACAATCCCCGGTTTAGGAGACCGATGCCTTATCCATTAGGCCACTGGGGCTCCAAGCAAGAATCAGGTCGAGGGTAGCCTATTTGTAACCGTAATTGCTGCAATAAAGCTTTCAATTCACGACCGAATGATGTGGAAGTGATTTTAATGTTTAAAATAATTTCACGATTAAGCAGAACGTAACGGTTGTTTAAATACGCGCGCATTTCTGCTCGTAACGGCCTCGATAGAAATCAATAATTACATTCTGCGCTTTCCTCCACTAGGTGGAGCCACTAGTCAGCACAATGTGCCTATGCTATGAGCAGAGCACATCAACGTTGATTTAAGTGCTCTGCTATGAGCCTGTGTCTAGAATATAGCGATGCTACGTCAAGTGTGATAATGGCGTTAATAATAATTATTAATAACATGTTATTATCTTAACCAGATGCTATTAGTAATTGCGCACGTTTACTGATATTACATGTCCAATGAAACCACAACTAGACATGCTTGTGACAATGTCAAGTCATTAAAAAACTGTATAATTATTTATATATATATTATATATATATAAAAAACGTGTAGTAATTTATAAACATATAAAATATATTAATACATTTTCCTTTGATATTTCAGGCACCACAGAAGACGGGGAGAACGGAGGAGGAAGCGCAAAAACGGGGAAACAAGAACTCTGGAGAAAAACCAAAGGTATGTCCGCTCATTCTCGAGACCTGTGAATCGGGTCAGATATATATACATCCCTGAGAGTAGAGTGTAGGTGCTAGGTATAGGGGGGCAGGGTACCTGCGTATCCCTTCTCTGCACTAAAGGAGCAGAGCAATGGGAGCAGGATCAAGACCCCCCACTCCATACACACACACACATACACACACACACACACCACCACCACCACCACCATGCTACAGCATATATATATATATGTATTTATATATGTATATGTGTGGGTGCATGCATGCGCGTGTGTGTGTGTGTGTATATAACACCTTATATTTATATATAACATTGCGCGCTGTCATGCATGCACCTCGCTGCCAATAATATACACGAGCGATAAGCGATCGACTCAATTGAGGAGAAAATGCAGCTTTTCAGTCAGCAGCAGCAGCAGCAGCAGCAGTAGCAGCAGCAGCAGCAGCAGCAGCAGCAGCAGCAGCACCCGA